ACTGTCCAGCTTTCACATGCATATGAGGTTATTGAAAATACCATGGCTTGGGTCAGGTGCAACTTAGTCTTCAAGCTGACATGTTGCCCTTGAACACTGTAAAGATGTCTTGTGCTGCAGATTTGCCTAATGCAATATGTTTGATTTCTTTCTTACTTTTTTGTTTTGTTTTGTTTTGTTTTGTTTGATTTCTTTACTGCTGCTTCCTTGAGTAATGATTATGGATCCAAGCAAAATGAAATCTTTAACCACTTTAGTTTTGTTTTTACATTTATCATGATGTTATATGTTGGTCCAGTGGTGAGGGTTTATATTTTCTTTACATTAAGGTGCAATCCACTCTGAAGTCTTTGATCATCCTCAGTAAGTGTTTTAAATCCTCTTGGCTTTAGCGAGGTTGTATCATCTACGTATGGCGGATTGATGGTTAATGAGTCTTTAGCGAGGTTGTATCATCTGCATATGGCGGAATGTTGGTTAATGAGTCTTCCTCCAATCCTGATGCCAGCTTCTCCTTCATACCATGCAGCTTATTGGATGATTTGCTCAGCATTCAGACCGAGTCAATGAGGTGAAAGGGCACAACGCTGGAACACACTTTTCCTGGTTGTAAACCAATCACTATCTCCTTGTTACGTTCAAACGTTGCCTCTTGGTCTGTGTACAGGTTTTTCATGAGCACAATTGAGTGTCTGGGATACCCATTCTTCTCAGTGTTGTCCAGAGTTTGTCATGGTCTACACAGGTTACACTTCTTCCTTCAGTACCATCGGATTTTGATCCTATACTGCCTCTTGAAATGATTGAACACTGACCATTCATTTTTGATACACTGACTCTGTGTCTTCCTTCCATCTTCTTTTGATGCTTTCTGCATCATTCAAGATTTTGCCCAAGGTAATGTGATGTAATAAATCATTTTTGTCCATGTTTGACAGTCATACGATGATGTCAGTTAGCAGTCATCCTTTGTTTTGTAATGTGATGTGGTCAACCTATGTCTTTGTGTAACAGTCTTCTCTTTGGGACCTAACCATGTTGGTAAATGAGGAATTGGGTGTATGCATTTGTTTATTTAATAAATAATGCACTAATATTGAGGTAACCATCCCATTTCCTCAGTATGTTACGTGTGACACTGAAGACACTGAAATTGCTAACTTAAGTATTACACAAACAGGAATTTTAATGAATGATACCAGGAGTGAATATATGAAATGGAAAATTCAGGCCGTTGAATTTCTTACTGAGTTCCACTGCCATGTTTTTACTGTTCACTGTTGACTGTAGTCGACGTTTGTGACCCTGGTGGCATGGTGGCTATTATATATTTGTGTTTCATTTTTCAGCTTTTAATTCTCAGAGGACACCATCAGTTAATAACTGCTGTGGCTTTTGGAAAGAAAGTGAATTCACTTCTTCTCTGCTCTGCATCACATGACTACGTTATACTCTGGAACGTAGACGAATGTAAAGAGAAGGCATTGCTCGGTAAATGAAAATTATCTTAAAAATGTACAGTGGAGTAACTTGTCCTTCAGTGTACATACTCAATGACAGTACATGATCTGGGATCATTTCATATCCTTTAAAATTGAATCAGATGTCTAAGATACCTGCTTTATATTGAAAGCTTATTTTCCAAACTGACAGATTTTGCTAGTGGCAGTGATTTATGGGTTCATTAGTTTTATTTAATTTATGCAGTTTCATAAGATTATTTGGGTTCTATCCTTTCACCATACTATTCAATCTGTATGCTGAGCAAATGATCTGAGCAGTTGGATGAATATGAAGAAGAGTGTGGCATCAGGATTGGAGGAAGCCTCATTAATCATCTGTGATAAGAAGATGATACAACCTTGCTTGCTGAAAGGGAATAGGAATCGGAGCAGCTGCTGGTAAAGATCAAAGACTACACACAGCCTTTTGTAGTTTTTGCTCTTAGGTGTCATGGAGTCGGTACCAACTCACGGTGACCTTATGCACAACAGAACAAAACACTGCCCGATCCTGCAACAACCTCACAGTTGTTGCTACACTGTGCCCATTGCTGAAGCCACTGTGCCAGTCGGTCTTGTTGGGGTCTTTGTTTGTTTTTTTTTTCACTGACCCTTTATTTTACCAAGCATGATGTCCTTTTGCAGGGACTGTTTCCTTCCTGATAATATGTTCAAATTATGAGAGATGAAGTCTGGCCACTCTGGCTTCTAACAAGTATTCTGACTGACTGTACTTCTTCCATCCAGATTTGTTTGTTCTTTTGGTGATCCGGGGTAATTTTAATATTCTCCTCCAACACCATGGATCAAATGCATCAATTCTTCTACGGTCTTTTATTCACTGTGCAGATTTTACATATATATGAGGTTATTGAAAATACCATGGCTTGGGTCAGGTGCACCTTAGTCCTCAAACTGGTATCTTTGCTCTAGAATACTGTAAAGAGGTCTGTGCAGCAGATTTGCTTCATGTAATACGTCGTTTGATTTCTTGACTGCTGCTTCCATGAGTGTTGATGGTTGATCTGAGCAAAATGAAGTCTTTGACAACTTCAATCTTTTCTCCATTTATCTTGCTATTATTTATTATTCCAGTGGTGAGGACTTTTGGTTTCTTTACATTGAGGTGCAATCCATACCAAAAGGTATGGTCTTTGATCTTCATCAGTAAATATTTCAAGTCCTCTTTGCTCTCAGCAGGCAAGATTATATTATTGGCATATCGCAGGTTGTTAATGTGTCTTCCTCCAATCCTGATGCCACATTTTTCTTTATATAATCCATCTTCTCTAATTACCTGCTCCACATACAGATTGAATAGTATGGTGAAAGAATACAAGGCTGGTGCATACGTTTCCTAATGAGCACAATTAAGTGTTCGGAATACTTATTCCTCGCAGTGTTGTTCATAGGTTGTCATGATCCCCACAACCAGAAGCCTTTGCGTAGTTAGTTATTAAAGCAAAGGTAAACATCTTTGTGGTCTTCTCTGCTTTCAGCCGAGATCCATCTAATGTCAGCAATGATATTCCTTGCTCCACGTCCTCTTCAGAATCCAGCCTGAACCTCGGTCAGCACCCTGTCAATATACTGCTTTAGCTGTTTTTGAATTATCTTCAGCAAAGTTTTACTGGTGTGCGATATTAATGATATGTCCAATGATTTCCACGGTCCATTGGGCCACCTCTCTTTGGAATGGGCATAAATATGGATCTTGTCCAGTCAGTTGGCCAGGTACCTGTCTTCTAAATTTCTTAGCACAGATGAATGAGTGCCTCCAGTAGAAAGATTTCAGTTTGAATTCTATCAGTTCCTGGATCCTTGCTCTTTGCCGCTGCCTTCAGTGCAACTTGGACTTCTTCCTTTAGTTCCGTTGTCTGTTGATCATGTGCTACGTCTGTTGATCATGTGCTACATCTTGAAATGGTTGAACATCGACCATTTCTTTTTGGAACAGTGACTCTGTGTATTCCTTCCATTTTCTTTTGATGCTTTCAGCAGCATTCAATATTTTGCCCAGAGAATCCTTCAACATTGAAAGTTGAGGCTTGGCTTTTGTCTTCTGTTTCTTTAGCTTGAGAAATGCTGAGTGTGTTCTTCCCTTTTCATTTTCTAACTCCAGATCTTTGCACATTCCATTAAAATATAAAGACTCTTTGTGAGCTGCCCTTTGACATTCTCTATTCAGCTCATTTACCTCTTCTTTCCTTCCATTTGCTTTAGCATCTCTATACTGGAGACAATTTTCAGACTCTTCTGATAATCCATTTTAGTCGTTTACTTCTTTCCTGTCTTTTTATTGACACTTTGCTTTCTTCCTGTAGGATGTTTTTGATATCATCACACAACTCTTCTGGTCTTCAGTCTTTAGTGTCTAATGCATCAAATCTGTTCCTGAGCTGATCTCTAAATTCAGGCAGGATATGTTCAAGGTCATATTTTGGCTCTTGTGGACTTGTTTTAATTTTCTTCAGCTTCAGCCTGAACTTGCATATGAGCAATTGATGGTCTGTTCCACAGTCTGCCCCTGGCCTTGTTTTGGCTGATGATATGGAGCTTTTCCGCCATCTCTTTCCATAGATGTAGACAATTTGATTCCTGTGCATTATATCTGGTGAGGTCCATGTGTATAGTCATCTTTTATTTTGTTTAAAAAAGGTGTTTACAAAGAACAAGTCATTGGTCTTGCAAAATTCAGTCATGCAATCAATCTCCAGCATCATTTCTATCACCAAGGCCATATATTCCAATGATTGATCCTTCCCCTTTGTTTCCAAATTTTTCATTACAATCGTCAGTAATTATCAATATATCTTGATTGCATGTTTGATCAATTTCAGACTGAAGAAATTGATAGAATTTTTCAATTTCATCATCACTGGCTTTACTTGTTGGTGCATAAATTTGAATAATAGTTGTATTAATGTATCTTTCTTGTATGTGTGTGGATATTATCCTATCCCAGACAGTGTTGTACTGCTAGATAGATCTTAATATGTTTTTTTTTGTAAATTTCCCCCCTTTTGCCCATTCCAACCATGCCTCAATCCCTGTATCCCAGAGCCCTGTTAATATGTTCTTTTTGATGATGAATGTAATACCATTCCTCTGCAGTTTGTCATTCCCAGCATAGTGAATCATGTGCTGGTCAGATGCAGAATGGCCACTACCTGTCCATTTCAGCACACTGATGCCTAATGCCTAGGATATCCATGTTTTTGTGTTCTATTTAGTTTTTGGCAACTTCCAATTTTCTTAGATTCATACTTAGTACATTCCATGTTCTGATTATTAATGGATGTTTACAGCTGTTTCTCTTCAATTTAAGTTGTGTCCTGTCAGCAGATGAAGGCCCTGAAAGCTTTACTACAGTCGTGGCATCATGGTCAGCTTTATTTTGAGGAGGCTTCTCTTCCCCAGTAGTATTTTGAGGATGTTCATAAGGTCCTGAGTGGTTCATTTTCCAGCACTATATTTCACAGCATTCTGTTGCTTTTCTTCATGTTTCAATATTCAGTATTCTGCTGTTTTCTGACAGTGTTCCACTGCTATGCATAAGGTTTTCAGTGACAAAATATTAGGAAGTAGTCCGTGTCTCCTTCTACCTAGTCGGTCTTAGTGTGGAAGCCCATCTGAAACCTCTCCACCATGGCTGACCCTGCTGGGATTTCAAATAACTTTCAGGATCACAGCAGCACACACACCACCACAGTATGACAGACTGTTAGACGAGTGGTGGATTAAGGAAGCTTCAGATCCTCTGAGTGCACCAGTAAGCAACCTCATGATAAACAGAAAAAAGAATGAAGTTGTCCAGAGTTTTATTTTACTTGGATCCATGATCAATACCAATGGGAATAGCAGTGAAGAGATCAAATGACATATTGCATTGGGAAAATCTGTTGCAAAAGGCCTCTTTAAAGTGTTAAAAAGCAAAGACTTCAGGACTAAGGTGCGCCTGACTCAAGCCATTAATTTTTCATTTGCTTCATATGCATGAGAACGCTGGACAATGAATAAGGAAGACTGAAGATGAGTTTTTTCAGTTAGGATGTTGGCGAATAATATTGAATATACATACCATGTGTTGCTAAAAGGATTACCAAGTGTGTTCTGGAAGATGTACAGCTAGAATGCTTCTTAGAAGGGTGGATGGTAAGGCTTTACCTCATACCCTGGGCTTATTATTAGTAGGGACCAGTTCCTTCCCGGAGCGGGACATCATGCCTGGTGAAATGGACGATCCGTGAGAAAAGGAAGCTCTTCCACAAGATGGATGGACACAGTCGCCGCAGCAATGACTGAGGGCGATACCGGATCAGGAAGTGTTTCCGTCTGTTGTACATACGGTGGCCAGGAGTCGGAACACCTAGCAACAATAACTTTTATTTTAAAACTTGGATTTTGATGCGAATCAAGGAAAATATAGGTGGGCTGAGTTGTTATTTACTGTGGAGCTTAAAGGTGAAGGACTTGGAAGCTGCTGCATGGAAACTTGGGGGCAGACAGTGTCAGCCGGTGAGTCCAGTCAGTGATGCGTCTGTGGCAAGTGTGGCGACGTGTTCGACCTGGGGCACTCGGAGACACCCTGCAGTCAGAGGGTCTGTGTACCGGGTCCCGCATGGGGTCATCCTGTCTGGAGAACAGCGTGCCTGTGTGGCTGGGGCATGGTGGTGGCAGGAGAGTCACTAGGAACACATGGCTGCCAGTTACAAGTGGGCCTAAGTGGCATTTTGGGAAGAAGTTTGAATTTACTCAGTTACTTGGAGAATTTGCAGGATTACTGTAAAAAACAAATGCCAAGTTATCTTTGCATATCTATCCACAATATTCCACCTCAGATATCCATACACAAATCTATATGTATGCACACATCCATGCACGTATACACATATTCATGTACACACATGCCCCTGCATACATGCTTACACAATTATACAGCGATGCATACAGCTGTATACACACACACATATGCGTGTACACACAGTGAACCACATGCCGGTCGCTGGCTTCCTGTACCACTGTCTATTGGCTGCTCTCTCCAGTTTGGGAGGCTCTGAGTTCCCACCATGTGCTGTTAAGTTGCCTTTGGAACCTCTGACGAGTCTCTGTGTGACCTGAAGCATGGAGGTCACACAGAACCAGCAGTGTGTGAGGTCAGCATCCCCAGAATGCAGCTCTCTGCCGCACGGGTCGCTCTGGTGGGTTTGGAACGTGCTGCTTGTGTGCCTCTCTCTCTGAGTTGTGGTGGCAGGTGACAGCTAGCGTGTTGCTGGGGTGGTGTGCAGCATTCCACATGTTCTCATGTAAGATACGGATTTGAGTTTGCACTTGGACTCAGGAAATGGCCCCGGACCAGTTCCCTCATGTACTACATCCCTCGCCACTCAGCCTCCTCTGGAAATACTTTCTGTTTCCAGCTTCCTGAACACTCCACTGGGTTCTTCTAGTCTCACGGTCCAGTTGTTCCTCTGCTGGTTCCCAGCTGTGCTGACCCGTCCATTGAGGACCCTGCCCTGGAAGTTTTCCTTAGCTGATCGCCTTTTTACCCCTGATATGCTGACGAGTCTGACCCTGTATCCTTTCTGAAACACTCTGCTGACACCGGCCTGTGTCCCTGACGGATCATGGCTCTCCCACCTCTGTTTAGCTGCTTCTTTGACATGCTTACCTGGACATCTGGAGTACACTACAAGCCTGACCGCATTAGCCTCTGGTCTATCTCCTCCTTTTCTCTCACAGTTGTCCCAGCTCAGCTCCCTCTGCACGTGCCTCCTCCTCCACGCCCACACTCTCCCCGTTAGCAGCGCTGTCTACTTGACGTCCACAGTGGATGGGATCTGACCGTGTCCAAGGCTGCACTGCTGTGTCTGTTCTATACCACCCAAGGTCCCCTGCCTTTCTGCTTCCCACACCATTCTCACCAGGGCAGCTGCCCAGGGCTCAGATTGCTTTCTGTCCCTGAAGCATGGACCCCATGTGGCACACACTCCTTCAAGATTGCCCTGCTCTGACACCGTCACGTGACTGCTGGTGTCAGTGCTGCCGAGAGGCAGCTTGTCATTGATGTGCACGATGTCCTGTTACTCTAGGAGAAGGTTTGCCTACCTATTATTGTGGCATTGCTGCATTAAAGGGACGAGGGGACCTTCTGTGGACTGACACTAGTGATGAACCCCACAGGGGAAGCTCCTCGTGGGACAGTCCTAGGCACGCTCTTGGGGAAGGTGCTTTGCTTACAGTTCAGTCTGGATGATCGTGCTATTGCCGTGTGCACTGGGGATAAAATACTCATGCTGGATGCCAAGGTAAGAGGTGAAGTGCTGCTGAAGTCTCACTTTGTAACTGGGTAGGATTGTATAACGCTGTAGGGGAGTGAACGCAAACACAGCTTTATCTTGTAACCGGAACGTCGAGAATGGTAGGGATTGTGCAGACATGAAGACTTGAATATGGGACTAGACCTTCAGATCTCAGGACCAGAGGCAGAGGATGCTGAGGGCATGAAGAAAGAGAAGGTATCCTGGCAAGACGAAATGACGAACACAGGGTAAAGTCCTAGTCACACAGGAAGATGGGAGCAGAGCTTGTCTTGGCAGGTCTGCAGTGTCCAGTCTGTGTGTGCACTCAGGTCAGTGGGCAGAGTGGGCTGGCAGTGGGGAGTAGGCACAGAGGGTGGGGAGGGAAGCATGACAGAGATGCAGTGAGAAGGGCCTGCTGGTCCAGCAGCCAGTGCCACCCCACGACGATGCCTGCACCCCAGTTCTGCTCAGGGTCAGCGGGGCTGCTCTCTGTCGACTACATTGCAGGTCCTGGGACTTGTGACAGCTTCCCTGGCTCAGCCTGGCTCAGCCATCTGACTTGACTTGCTAGTTGCGCTCCAGATGTCTGACATGTATGTGGCAGAGGGGGTTACATAAAGTGGAACTGCTTCCTCAGACAGACATGAGACCACTGCACGCAGTCTGCTCACTGACCCCTCACCGATCCTTCCAGAGTCCGTCTGTCCTGGCTGAGCTGCGGGGCCACCAGGCTCCAGTCACCGCACTCACGTTCTGTGCTGGGCAAGCTGACCTCCTCATCTCAGTGTCTGAAGACAGATGCTTCCAGGTAAGGGATGGACTCTCCCCGATGGACAAAGGCTGTGTAATGGGGATGTTGTCTGAAGACAGACACTTCCAGGTAAGGGACGGACTCTCCCTGATGGACGAGGGCTGTGTGATGGGGACATTGTGCTGTCCATGTGAGAGGCGTCATCATGGGGCTCGGTGCTGTCTGCACTGTATAACTCTCATGTGCCCAGTGGCCAGCAGCTGGGTGACTGGGGACCACTCTCCTCAGACCTTTCTTTTCACTCGGACTGTTTCCTGGAACACAGGGCGGAAATCCCCCCTCCGAGGCCAGAAGGTTTCACCCAAATGAACCTGGGCTGGGGAAGGAGGGAAATGAAACGCCAATTCAGTTTCCACTCATGTCACTGGCGGCCCACATTGTCATTGTCACTGCTGCTTGCCGACGGCCTGAGCTTCAAAGCTTGTGACTGAAAGAGCAGTTGACGGCAGATGAAGCTCACTGCCAGGAGAGAGACTGAGCTGTATCCTGAACACACCTATGGAGTAAATCCCTGTGGGAAAACAAGGAGCCTGCTGGTGTGCTGGGTTAAGCACTGGGCTGCTAACCACAAGGTTGATGGCTCAAACACACTAGCCACTCCACTGGAGAAAGCCTACGCTGCCCACTCCCATAAAGGTTTAGAGTCTCAGAACTCTTTGAGGCAATTCTGCACCATCTTGAGGGTGCTGTGAGTCACAATAAATTCTAAAGCAAGTGGGTAAAATGGAGCCTGGTGGCACAGTGCTTAAGCACTAGGCTGCTAACCAAAAGATCAGCGGTTCGAACCTACCAGTTGCTCCATGGGAGAAGGCTGTGGCAGTGGATTTCCATCAAGATTTATGGCCTTGGAGATGCTCTGGGGCGGTCCCACTGTCCTGCAGCCTGACTGTAGTCGGTATAGTCTTGACAGCAGTGGATTTGTTGGGCGAGTGGTAGGGCACCACCCGTTGGTGTTCTCTAAGCCTGGACAGACTGGACTGGCATCCCTCCACCCCTCACCCATGTGTGTGGACAGTCATTAAGGATGCAGTGTCTCATTTTTCTTGTCTGTAAAATGGTAAGAACTTGTGGGGAGCACAGTCGATTGGAGCAACGCTTGCTTAGTCCCTGAGCCTTGACCAGGGCAGAGTCTCTAATCTTTCTCAGTTTCTGATTTTGAGTTCTTCCAAATGGTAGTTATGAGTCGGGCTGCTAACCTCAAGGCCAGCAGTGCAAAACTACAGGCCGTTCCGCAGGAGGAAGATGAGGCTTTCTGCTTCTGTAAAGATTTACAGCCTCAGAAACCCTATACAGGGTTGCTATAAGTTGGAACCAACTCCATGGCACACTACTGCCACCAAACCCCTAAACTTATTTCTGAAAATATGAATTTTTGTTTGTTTGTTTTTTTAATATGTGATTCTGACATCTGGTATTATCTTTCTACAGTTTTATTATTTATATTCCTACATTGTTGTACTGTGGGGGCGTGTGTGTTGCTGTGATTCTGGAAGCGAGACCACCAGTATTTTAAATACCAACAGAGTCACTTAGGGTTCAGATGAGCTTCCAGACTAAGACAGACTAGGAAGATGGAAAGATGGACTACTTCTGAATACCTAGTCACTGAGAACCTTATGAATAGCAGTGGAGCAATGTCAGCACCAGAATATTGACTATTGAGATATGAAGAAGAGTATCAGAATATTGTCTGATACAGCACCGGAAAAATGAGCCACTCAGGTTGGAAGGCACTCAAAATATGACTGGGGAAAAAAAATGCCTTCTCAAACTACAGTTGACATTGAAGACGCTGATGGAGTAAAGCTTTCGGGACCTTCATTGTCTGAACCATCCAAACTCAAAATGAGTAAAAACAGCTGTAGACATCCATTGATAATCAGAAATGGAATGTATATGTAAGTATGAATCTAGAAAAATTCGAACACACAAACTTCAATATCCTAGGTGTTAGTGAGCTGAAAAGGACTGACATTGGCCATTTTGAATCTGACAATCAAAGGGTTTACTGTGCTGGAAATCACAGACTGAAGAGGAATGGTGTCATATTCATCATCAAAAAGAACATTTCAAGATCTGTCTTGAAGTACACTGCTGCCTGTGATAGGGTAATATGCATGTGCCTACAAGGAAGATCATTTAATACCACTATTATTCAAATTTACGCACCACCCTCTAAAGCCAGTGGTGATGAAATTGAAGAATTCTACCAACTTCATCAGTGTGAAATTGATCAAACACACAATCAAGATGTATTGATAATTACTGGTGGTTGGAATACAAAGGTTGGAAACAAAGAGGAAGGATCAATAATTGGAAAATATGGCCTTGGTGATAGAAATGATGCTGGAGATCACATGATAGAATTTTGCAAGACCAATGACTTCTTCATCGCAAATACCTTATTTATTTATTTTTAAAGTTTTTATTGTGAAATTGAGTGATCGTTTACATGGGAGAGCATCGGTTTTACACTGTTTCATTGCAATGATTACAATCTCCTCCATGCATCATCATTCAACAGTATTTGCTTCTAGTCCCTCTGTGTTTTTTGTTTGTTTGTTTGTTTTTTTGAGGTATTTTTTGAGTATTGTGCACAACAATACTCAGGATTATATAATTATTTAAACAACCAAAGGGCACATTCTTCAAGCCTGCCTCCTGGCTGCCAACACTCAGTCTTTCTCTTCCCATAAGTCTAGAGTGATGTGTAAAACCGATGTTCTCCCATGTATACTATCACCATCTCTGGTGTTGCTGCTTCTCTGGACAGGGTCCCGCATTCCACTCATGCTCTTCTCCCTTGATGGTCCTAGGGCCCTCTGTTTATGGACTATAAGATTAACCACTCCCCAGTTTTTGTTCCAAAATTCCTACCTTTACAGTTGTCACAGTCACAATTAGTCATGATAGCAATTATTCGAATCATAAGAATCTTATCCCCATCTCTTTTCACCAGACCCATCTAGACAAGATGAAAACTACTCAGTGGGAACTCTGCCTTCGCCCACACACTCTAAAGCTAAACTTCCTCTTGAAAACTTGTAAGCCAGTCACTTCATGCCTGTATCACCCCTTCATTATTATTTAAAAAAAGTTTTGTGTGAATTGAGTGATAGTTTACATGAGAGAACATCAGCTTTAGATTCATCCTATCGTATTTTGTTTCACTGCAGTGATTACAATCCCCTCCATGCATCACCATTGGAATATTATAACCATTCAAACAACCAAAGGGCACCGCCTCATTTTAGGTGGCCAATGTCTAAGTTGCCTGTCCCTATCTATCCTGTATACAGAGGGGATAGGATTGATACTTGATGACTCCTTCCCTCTCAGTTGATATTTAGAAGCTACTACATCCATAAGTATAGGTCAAGTACATCAAATTGTAGCAATTTACACTTGTTTCTTTTATATCAAAAATTTTTTTTTATCTTCCTCTAGTTGAGTTCTGATTATCAAGCCATTGAGGTTAGGTCAAATGGGTACTATCTGCAAGTTTGTATGCATCTCCCCTCACTTCATATAAGCTGGATGCTTCACTGTCAGCTCTAACCCTCTGTGGCTAAGTCCTTGTCCATGGACTCAGGAGCCCCCAGGCCTCATCACACTTCACGCCAACCAGCCCTTCCTCTTCTCTCTCTCATCTCCAGGTCAGCGGGAATCAATGGAACATGGTTGAACTCAGGCCATTTCATCATTGCTGCCTTTCCCCCTCTTCCACTCACCAGTAGACCAATGTGTTCACTAGCAAGCTTACATGCCTGCTCATGTGTTCTCTTTGATTTTCAATCTTGGGAGGAGCAAATAACTTTCATAAACAACATAAAAGACAACTATACACATGGACCATATGGAATACACAGAAATCAAGTTGACAACATCTGTGGAAACATGGTGGAAAAGCTCCATATCAGTCAAAGCAACGCCAGGGGCAACTGTGGAACAGATCATCAATTGCTCATATGTAAGTTCAGGTTTAAGATGAAGAAAATTAAAACAAATCCACAAGAGTCAATATATGACCTTGAACATATCCCACCTGAATTTAGAGATTATCTCAAGAACAGATTAGATGTATAAGACACTAATGACCAGAGACCAGAAGAGTTGTGGGATGACATGAAGAACATCATATAGGAAGAAAGTAGAGGGTCATTAAGAACACAAGAAAGAAGAAAAAGGCCAAATTGGATGTAGACTCAGAGGCAGTGGTTCAAACAGAACAAGGGAACTCTGAGTGGTTTAAAATTAGGAAAGGTGTGCCCCAGGGTTGTATTCTTTCACCATACTTATTCAAACTGTATGTTGAAATTTGAGAAACTGGATTATATGATGAAGAACATGGCATCAGGATTGGAGGAAGACTCATTAACAACTTGTGCTTTGCAGATGGTACAATCCTGCTTGTTAAAAGTGAAGAGGACTTAAACTACTTACTGATGAAGATCAGAGACCACAGCCTTTGATATGGGTTGTACCTCACTGTAAAGAAAACAAAACCCCTCACCAATGGACCAATAAACAACATCAAGATAAATGGAGAAAAGATTGAAGTTATCAAAGACTTCATTTCCTTGGACCAATCATCAACACTCATGGAAGCAGCAGTAAAGAAATCAAATGACGTATTGCATTGAGCAAATCTGCTGCATTTGCAGATTTGTATAAAAGTCCCCGTTAAAGTGTTAGAGGAAAGATGTCAGGGTGGGGCGTGAGGTGCCCCTGAGCCGAGCCATGGTATTTTCAGTAGTCTCATATGCATGTGAAAGTTGGACAATGATTAAGGAAGACCATAGAAGAATTGATGCATTTGAGTTACGGTGTTGGAGGAGAATATTAAAAGTACCATGGACTGTCAGAAGAACAAACAATCTGTGTTGGAAGAAATACAGTCAGAATGCTCCTTAGAAGCCATGCTGGCCGGACTTCGTGTCTCATACTTGGGACATGTTATCAGTAGGGACCAGTTCATGTAGAAGCACATACTGCTTCCTAACGCAGAGGGTTAGTGAAAAAGAGGAAGATCCCCAATGAGATGGATTGGCACAGTAGCAGCAGCAGTGGGCTCAAGCATAGGACTGATGGTCAGCTTGGCGCAGGACTGAGCAGTGTTTCATTCTGTTGTGTATAAAGTCACTATGAGTTAGGACCGACTCGACAGCACCTAACAGTGGCCCCAACACATTGTTCTATATTCTCTTTCAGATAACCTGTCACATCGACGAGCTTGTAACTGGGTAGTGCCTTTAGTTCTCAGCATGGTGTAAGGGCCCCACTCCTTCCTGTCCTGAAGAAGTGTTTGTTTGTTGTAGGTCTGGAACCATCATGTGGGGACTTCAGTGTACACCTCGCCAGTGCTAGCAGGTAGGCTGCATTTCTGTCATCCGATGGGACTGTGATACCCGCGTGGAACCCAGTGAGTCTCACCGACAGCTGTTCCCCTCCTAGCTGCACAATGACCTCCTTAGCAGTCAGTTTCCTCCAAGTGTTCATCTTATGATGAAGCCAGTACGTGGAGTGTGGGCTTCCTGTCTCAGCACTTGGAAGTGCGTGTCCTCAAAGTTAGCATCCCTGGCTGCCCCTGATGCTCCTACAGGGAAACCCGGTGAGGTATCTGCCCACTTAGACAGCTGGGCATCCATGCACGGGATCTGTCAGCTTAGGAATTTAGAGGAATGGTTTACTCTCCTCACACCCTGATGCTAACTGGAATGGGTGTATGTCAGCTTCGGGCTGGGGCTAGGGTTACGGTCACGGTTGGGGTTAGGGCATGGTTAGGGTTAGAGGGTTAGAACTGTGGTTAGTGTTTAGCCCCCTCCCCCCCACCCCCCAGATCTAAACATGTTCTTGGGTCAGTTCTGACTTCTAGTGAGCCTGTCTGTTAGAGTGGAACAGCCCTGGATGATTTCCAAGGCTGAGTCCTAGTATGATACTGTAGGGTAAGCACTGGACTGCTAATCGCCATGTCAGTAGTTGAAACCCGCCTGCCACTCTTCAGAAACCCTATACAAGGTCGCTGTGAGTCAGAACCGACTTGACAGTACACAACAACAACCAGATCAACAATCTTTATACCGCCTACAGCTGGTAGCTCTGTAAGATAAGGACTGGAATTTGAACCAAAAGGTTGATGGTTTGAGACCACCAGCTGCTCTGTGGGAGAACAATGAGGCTTTCTGCTCCTCCAAAGATTTACAGCTTTGAAAACCCTATACAAGGTCGTGATGAGTCGAACCGGCTCAATGGCGCTTAACAACAACAATCTTTCTTGGATCAGACCAACTCATCTTTCTTCTGTGGATAAGCTGGTGGGTTTGAACTACCAATCTTTGGGTTAACAACCAACCCAGTCCAGTAGCACTGAGTCGTTCTGATACAGCCTTTCTGAGGCTCTGAGTCTTTGTAGGAGCAGACAGCTTCATCTCCCTGCTGTGGAGTGGCTGGTGGGTGTGAACAGCCTGCCTCATAGGTAACTGCTCAGTGCTGTCCCACACGACCAGGACGGCTCCATAGTGACCATGTATAGGGTTTCTGAGAGCGGCTGGTGGCTTTGAACTGCCAACTGCTACAGTATCACCAGGGTGGTGGTTGTTATGGGCCGTGGAGTTGGTTCCGACTCATAGTGACCCTGTACAGTGTTTCCGAGGAGCGGCTGGTGGGTTGTGGTTAAGCAGTTTTGAGACTCGTGTGCTGTGAAATTCTCACACCTGTACGCCTAGCTTGCCTTGTAATGCCCCTTAACTCTCTTTAGTTGAGTCCTCCCTTTTCCCCAGAATGTCTCCTAGGCCTAGTGTTTGTTGTGCATCCTTTGTGTTCTTTACTGTGTGCGTACTGTGCTTACTGGGACTGGAGGAAGAGAAGATTAGCATAGGATGGTCCCTTCTAGGGAACGGAAGCCCTGCGTGAAACCAGTGCTGTGACTCATTCCAACTCAGCAGCACTCTGGGGTTCCTGTGGCTGAGATTTTTAAGGAAACAGATGGGGTGGCTGGTAGGTTTGAACCTTTAACCTGTGGTTAGCAGCCTGGCACTTAACCCACCGAGCCACCAGGGCTCCTTTTTGCAGGAAATGACCTGAACTCTGCAGCTTTGGGAAGCCACAGGCACCATAGTGACCTGGCCCAATTGTCGTGTGTCCCCAGAGAGTTCCATGGCCTCCGGAGGTTCATTTCTCACGTGGTGGATAGAGCACATTGCTTAGGGTTATGTTAGAATTCCTTTTCTGAAATAAGGTATATGGGATTGTTATTGGATTGTCAACACATTTAATTATATGATCTTTGATTCCATCAATAGTTCCACCCCCCCTCCCACCTTTGAGGACATACAGTGTTTAAAACATTCATTTATCTTAGTTCTCCTTTTAAGTTCTTAACAGTTTAGATTCAGAGTAATTTTGAAATGAAATGATACATAGCAACCGTTTTAAAAGTAAGACATCCCTTTAATGACCGTTTTCACCATTACTTCCCCACTTTTATTACTCTCGGCTTATCAGAGTCACTGTGTGTTGGGCTGTGTAGCTGTGTGGTTGTAGATTAGGCTTCCTGTTTGGGTGAGCAGCGTGCGACGTCCCAGGACTCACCGGTGGCAGACTCGGATCCGTACCTCAAGCTATTATTTGGGATGAGAGTTTCAAAACTTGAAGTTAGAAAATTTATATTTATGACTCTTGTGAAAAAGTATCCTGGACTAGTTCAAAGTTGCCTACTAGAAATGTCTGTGTAAGGTGACGCCAGTCTCTGGAAAGTCTCAAACGAACCACTCTGCCTCTCTTTCACTAGCGTGTCCTCTCCTCAGCGTGCTTGTTGATGAAGACACCAAGCAGCTTGTGACTGGGTGTGCTGACGGCCAGGTGAGGGGTCCACATGCTCACCGTCCACTTTCCAGGTGTTACGATGACAGAGTGAGTGTGCACACAGGGTCTGGGCCTCACCCTGGGGTTGGTGATGCCCTGTGGCCTCAGCATTGCGTGGGAGGTGCTCCTGCCCACTGTGGCCATGGTTTCCGAAGGTTCCTGTGTGGTTCTGATATGAGAACCACTGGTACCGACGTGGTCTACTCCTTCACAAAGCATGGTCACCATGCTCTTCGTCATAAATGCTGCTGTGGGTCTGATGAGGGGGAGACGTGTTGTCTCTTTTTGAATAATAAGGTGAGTTTCTTTCTTTTCTTGTCTCTGAGAAAGTTGACTTCTCTTCCTATGCATGGTACCCAGTGCTATGACCATGTTTGTCTCCTGGCTGTGTAGACCGTGGTTTATGACGTGTACAGAAAATGGTGTGTGACGCATGTGGGGACCGTGGTGTGTGACATGTGTGTGGACTGTGGTGGGTGACATGTGTGTGGTGACCGTGGTGTGTGAGGCACTGTGGGGACTGTGGTGGGTGACACATGTGGGGACCTCAGTATGTGATGGACATTCGGTCAGTGGTGTAGCCCACATACAGTTGGTGCTATGATGTATGTGATGTGTGGGCATGTGTGCTGTGACCTGACCTCCTTGTGGACGTGGGGTAACGGGTGTACGGTGGTGTAACATGTAGAAGGTTGCACGGCATGTGTGATGAGTGTGTAGAACGTGTGGAATGTGTGTTCGGGGGGTGGTGTCACACGTGTGTGCAGTGTGTGACGTGGAGCATGTGGGAATGGACGGCTGGAATTATGAGAAGGTTTGTCTTCAGTGAGAGAATTTTCTAGAAGACAGTTCAGTACCACAGCCCGTCAGACCTTTACTGAAAGACGGCAGAGGAGGAAGACCCCGGAGTCTGAGAGTGGGGGTCTGTGGGACGGCCTGGAACTCGCTGTGACAGCTCTGCTCACGTGTCTGACTTTAGCTGCTTTTTCACATGGGCCATTCGTGTTACAGGATGTGTGTCTGTATATGCTTGCCATTTTCAGCTCTGGGTCTTCAGTTTGGTTGAAAATCATCATTATCGTTGTGTGACACGTGTGGACCTAAGGAGAAAGAGTGAGCGTTTCTTCATCCAACGGGTCTCACCTGAGTCATGTGGCCTTTCAGGTAACCCGGCAGCACCCCGAGCGGCACGTGGGGTGCTGAGGGCCGTGGGAAGCAGAGCTGGGCTGTGGGCACTCAGTGTGTCCGGTTCCAGGAGTGACACAGTGGAGAGCGGGCCACACGGGGGCTGGGCCTGGGGGACAGACTGTCCAGGAGGAGGGGGCTCGTGTACAACAGGCCCTGTCGTCTGCCCACACGCTCGCTGGAGGGGCCCGGTCACTGCTGACTCCCCGAATTGCTCCCACCTGTCCAGCGTGCTGCTGGCCACAGCACCTGTGTGGGTTCCAGTCTCTTGTGCGGGAGTCTCAGCTATGGCCTGATGTTGCTTCTCAGTGTAGCGGGCTCTCTGGAGGCAGTGGCCCGTCGAGCTCCCCTTCATTGTGTTCAGCCCTGTAGATTGTCTCTCTGTGTAGATGGCTTGAAGTGATGACTTTAAAAATACACAGGGAGATACCTCTATCCTACACTAATACACTTACGTTTTCCTCATGCTTCAAACCAGTTGTCTTAGGCTCTGCTCTAAGTCAGGCTGTTAACCTCAAGGTCAGCAGTTCGAAACTACCAGCGGTCCCACGGGAGAAAGATGAGGCTTTCTCCTCCCATAAAGATTTACAGCCTTGGAAACCCTGCGCAGGGTCGCTACGACCATCACTGTATATAAGGAGCTCTGCTAGTGTAGTGGTTACGAGTTGGGCTGCTAACCACAGGTCACCAGTTTGAAACTGCCAGCCATTCTGCGGGAGAAAGATGAGACTTTTCCTCCCATAAAGATTTGCCACCATTATGTCAGTTTTGGACTTTTTTTTTTTTTTTTAAGAGAACAAAAATAATTTATTTAAAAAAAAATGATAATGATCTCATTTTTGACAACATGTGAGGTAAGGAAGTATTAGGATGATCTGACCTGTGATCAAACTGACAATAAAAAGCCGACTTTCCCAGGCTGACTGAGCCTCAGGGACCGATTGGAGAAGGTTGGCATAGCAGTGCCAATTCCCATTCCACAATTTTAACACTGATTGTGCAGCGACGTTCTTCTCACTGTGTGAAAAGTCTCATTTCTGTTCCTGTTAACCTAGTTTCCCTGCCCCCTTGCCATCTCGGCTTTGCTTTACAGTAATGGCTGAGTGAGTCGTTTCCTTTTGACATGACACTTCTTTCAGGTTCTCAGTCGTCCTTTTCTCTAGGGGGGAATCAGCTGCTGCCCTCCAATGAGCAGGACAGAGAAGCAGGGATGCAAGTGGCGTGGCCAGTCCTACACCTGGAGCTCTGTGACCAGTCCTACGCTCAGAATCCTGGGTGGAAATGGTGAGTGTGGCCAGCTTGGCCTACCTCCTCTTACTCAGTTCATTTTTAAAAAAAGCGTTGTAGACATAGACAGATGAAATTAGAATCAGGTGACTCTTTGTGTTTGATTAACGCTAGCTATCTTAAGTGGAGTCCTGGTGTGGCGCTGTACGATAAGCACTCGACCGCAAGGTTGGTTGAAACTGTAAGGTCAGTGGTTCAAATTCACTGGCCACTCTTTGGAAACCCTATACAGGCTTGCTATGAGTCAGACCCGACTCAGTGGCACTTAATAACAACAAGTGTTTATAAGGGAGCTTGGTGGCTCAGTAGGATAAGCACTGAATTGTGAACCGAACCACAAGGTCACCGATTCATAACCACTGGTAACTCAACAGGAGAAAGATGAGGCGTTCTACTCCCACAAAATATTCAAAGCCCCGGAAACCCTTTACAGGATTGCTGTGACTCAAAATCAGCCCACGGCCCTTACGAACAAGGAATGGAATTGGCCATCTTGAGTTGGACAAACTGTGCCCGAAATAATGACGGTTCATGTGTCCCGTTCATGGATAAAAAGAAGATTTCAAGGTTTATCTTGAAATACAACATTGCAGATTTTAGGATAATATCCATAGGCCTACAAGGAAGACCGGAGTCCTGGTGTGGCGCTGTGGGTCAATGCGCCAGACTGCAAAGCCATTTGAACTGCAAGGTTGGTGGTTCAAGCTCACCAGCGTCCCCTTGGAAACCCTATACAGGGTCTCTATGGGTCAGAACCGACTCGACGGCACTTAACAACAACAACAAGGAAGACCAGTCAATATGCCTGATATTCAGATTTACCAGTCAACCAGTAATGTCAAAGATGAAGAAACTGAAGAGCTTTTATCAACTTCTGCAGTCTGGAATAGATCAAACATGCAGTCATGATTGTTTTGCTCATTCTGGATAGTCGGAATGTAAAAGTTTGTAACAACAAAGAAGGGTCAGTGTTTGGAGACTACGGCCTTGGAGACAGAAACAACAGTAGAGGTCACATGATAGAAGTGTGCAAGACCAATGGCTTACGCATCGGTCCTACATGTTCCCAAGAACATAAACGACAACTATTCACGTGGACCTCACTGGATGGACTACACCGTGCAGAAACTCCGAGGAGCCAACTGGCCCTCCCATAGCCCCCCACTTCTCTTACGGGTTTGATGATCTGTTGCAATGGCCACACATAACTCAGGCACCATACTCAGGGTGGGGTTTGTTAGGGAAGTTAAGGCTCAGGGCCGAACTCTGCCAGCTGCTGATAAAAAGCCTCAGCCTGAAGGCCCTGGACTCGCCCACTTAAGTTACATGGAGGTGCCCCATTCTACAAGGACGGCTCTGTCCAGAGTCACTCAGTTTCACCGGCTCCGCGGGCTGGAAGCCCACCGCCTGACTCCAGCTCTGGCTCTTACAGCTGCTGCCCCCCCTCTGTCAGTCGTCCCGTGCCACGGCTGTCTGTCTGTCCCCGGGTCCAGGAATCCAGTGCACAGGGACCTTGGGGTGCATATCACTCCTGGGTCTTCTTGATGGAGGTAAAATTCCCCTACTCCTGACTCTCAGATGGCCCATTGAAAACTCACATTAGGTTTCCAACTTTTCACAATGACAGCGGAATCCGTGTCTTTGTCACCAACTTCGGACCCAGACAAATCAGGAAGAGTTGTTTGGTGGAAATTACAGGGACATGCACAGCTGCAGCTGCTGTTTGTGTACCACCAAGTCGGGGCCAACTCAGGGATTCTGGATCGGGTTTGTGAAGTCATACAAATGCTGGGGAGAAAAGAAATCTGTGTTTTGTTTGCAATGTAAAGATTGTGAAATAGAATTCTGAAACACAAGAAATAGAGGATTCTGATTTTATTTTGATGAGTAAACAAATGTTAGCTCGTCTCTTATTTGACCTAGAGGAGAGGTACCTACTCCTCAATGCTGTACGCCCACAGGAGACTTGGTGGGTTAGCTGAGGGTGAAGACTTTGTAGGTACCTTTTTCTGAAGGCAGTGGACATTTGGGAACTGATAATAATAATATTCCTAGATAATATTTACCAGTTACTTACTTGTATGGGAGCAGAAAACCTCACCTGTCTCCCAAGGAACGACTGGTAGATTAGAACTGCTGGCCTTTGGGTTTGCAGTCTCGCTCATAATCCACAACACTACCAGGGCTCCTAAAGATAGGACCACTGTTTGGTTCTTGTTAAGTGCTATCACGTTGGACTCATAGTGACCCTGTATACGGTTTCTGAGGAGCAGCTGGTGGGTTTGAACTGCCGACCCTGTGGTTCACAGTCCAGTCAGCACCACACCAGAGTAGAAGAGGCGTATTGAGTAATTTCACTGCACTTCACACATAAATGTCAGTCCCACTACGTCTGTGCAAAGAGACGCTATAGAAGGCTCGTCATCACCACTCACGACAAGGCCACTGGCTGACTACACACTGGAACACCTGTCGCTCAGAGGTGGCTCCTTGTTGGTGTCTGCTGATTCCGACTTGCGCCAACCCCTGTGTGTCTGAGGAGATGTCCCATGGATTTTCTTGGCTGTGATCATAACAGAAACAAATCCCCAGACCTTTTCTGGGTGGGGTCTGCCACCCCAAACTTTAGGTTCATAGTGGAGTGGAGTCCCTTCTTAGTATTGGCCTTGTCACACGTATGAACCCTTGCTAAGTCCTGTCATGCGCACAGCCGGGCCGAGCCGCTGTGGTTCCCTGGAACCAAGTGTGTCCCGGAGCTTTCCCAGTGACCATCAGACGATTCCCGTTTCTTTCAACATCAGCCTTCCTTCGGAGAAAGCCAAGTGTCTGTGGGTCGGCTGCTCCACTGCCTTATTCGTACTGAACTTGGCAAGCTTTGAGCTGGAAGCTGTTGTACTTTACAAAGGTAAGAGCAGACGGTCACCTTGTCCAAGCTCTAATGTCAGGCGCTTTCAGCGTTTTCTCTGCTGCTACATGGGGATTGCAGGTCTCAGTGTAGACAGCCTGGTCAGCAGACTGCTGGGATAGGTCACGTTTAACCATGGGAGAGCTGGCCACGGGAAGGACAGAATGAGCTCTCTTACTCCACCTCTCAGGGTGACCTCACCCCTGAAATGGTCCCTCGTCTGAGCACTTCCTCACTCCCAACCACGTCTCAGCCCCTCCTGCTTCTCCACTGACCCCACCTCAGACCCCCTGCCATGACTGGACCTGTGTCCCCTGACCCCACTTCAGACCTGTGTCCCTGACCTCACCTCAGACCATGTCCCCTGACCCCACCTCAGGCCAAGTCCCCTGACCTCACCTCAGACCATGTCCCCTGACCCCACTTCAGACCTGTGTCCCTGACCTCACCTCAGACCATGTCCCCTGACCCCACCTCAGACCATGTCCCCTGACCCCACCTCAGACCTGTGTCCCTGACCTCACCTCAGACCTGAGTCCCTGAACTCACCTCAGACCATGTCCCTTGACCCCACCTCAGACCATGTCCCCTGACCCCACCTCAGACCTGAGTCCCTGACCTCACCTCAGACGTGAGTCCCTGACCTCACCTCAGACCTGTGTCCCTGACCTCACCTCAGACCTGTGTCCCTGACCTCACCTCAGACCTGAGTCCCTGACCTCACCTCAGACCTGTGTCCCTGACCCTACCTCAGACCACGTCCCTTGACTTCACCTCAGACCTGTGTCCCCTGACCTCACCTCAACCCTGTGTCCCTGATCCCACCTCTGACCTGTATCCCCTGACCTCACCTCAGACCTTAGTTCCCTGACCCCACCTCAGCCATGTGTCCCTGACCCTACCTCAGCTCTTTGTCCCTGACTCCACCTCAGACCTGTGTCCCTAACCTCACCTCAGACCTGTGTCCCTGACCCCACTTCAGACCCCCTGCCCTGACTGGACCTATGTCCCTTTCACTGGACGTCAGCCTCGCCCTCAGGGTTTCTGGTGCTCCCTTTTCATCCTCCCACAGTCCTCTCTGCCTTGCCCCCTTGTTCCATCCAGCCCATCTTCCCTCCTCCGTGCTCGCTCAGCGTCTGCCCTCCTGTCCGCGTAGTTGTCCAGGCTTGCCCTGTGTTCACCGTCCAGCGGCTCTGTCCTCCCCACGAGTTCTCACCGGTGTCCTCTGAATCCGGGGTCTCTCCAGGAGTAGCCTCCTGCTCCTCACCTGTGCCCCCCACCTCGGCTCCGTGTTCTCCTTGAAACCCCCCTGCTCCTCC